TATGTATGGATGGATGGATATGTATATAATATATGTATATATATATATATATTGCTCTCTCTCTCTCTCTCTAAACACAATATTGATTTTGTTGCAGCCGTGCCTGTGCGAATAGACATGGGCTTATTCGCAAATATGGCCTGAATATCTGCCGGCAGTGCTTCAGGGAATATGCCGCTGACATTGGTTTCAAGAAGGTAAATATGACATTATTAATACAGTATAAAATATTTGTCGATACATTAAAAATAGGAAAAAAATAATGCAATTAATACCTTCTTTTTGTTTTACAGCTGGATTAAATACATAGAACATAAATATAACATAAATACAACATAGTTCAAGCAATTCAACCAATTACATCTATGATTTCAACATCAGCATTAATATCTTGAAATAATATCGACAGTTGAACACGAATATAATGGTATTGTAACGATATTAGCAATGTTTTACCAATGTTTTTAAAATAAACACATTTATGTTCTTATAATTCTTTATTTCGTCACATATTCTATTTATATCCTTTTAAATAATTTTTTTTTTTTTTTTATGGACGTGAATATAAAATTATTTGAAAAGCTATCTATTATTATTGAAAAATACAATATATAATCATTAGTGTTGCATATAAATAGAATTACAGGTTTATATAAAGCATATTTATATATAATACATAGTTTATCAATAAATAATTTACTCGATGTTTGTATACGAATTATACTATCTCTAATCGGAATTTAATAAATTTGGACATTCCTTTTAAAAATTGAAGTTAATCTTAAAATCTTGCTAAAAATCGAAATTGCAAAGAAAAACCAATTTTGCAGTTATATTCGCGACTGCACATATATCGAAAAAAAGAAAAAAAAATATTGGCAGCACTGCGGCAATGGCGGAAGGCGGAATTCGCGTAGGTTACGTTTGATGCTGCAGTGATATCGTGCGTGTCCCTCGTAAAAAAAAACGCGTATCAATTGCGACTTGCGACACATGGAGAGAACAATGTCGGAACAAGCAGCTTTGCAAACGCAAACGGAAACAATCTCCGAGGCGGATGTCACCGAATCGCAGGTATGCTGGTATGCATGTTCGTTAACTCTCATTTATGTATGTACGTTACGTTTATTACTTGATCGCGCGATAAACGGGAGTGGAGAAGAATCGTCGGTGACGTTATTTACAGAATGCAAATAATTATTGCTCTTATCGCTTGTCACAATCCAATATCCCCTCCAACATACGACTTTACATCGTTGGAATACGATTTTTAATAATCATAAAACACATTGTATTATTTTCACTACAATATACATAATATTTTTACGGCGACAAGGTTATACAAATTATTTCTGACTTTGTTCTTTAAGTTTCAATGATGATGCGTAATATAATCACGATTTTCCTGCGAAAACGCGCAGCGAGTGAAAGATTTTTAATAAGTGAATGCAATTTAAAGAAGTGCGAGCGTGAGTTTTGTCAAACGATCACCGAAGACAATCGTTCACCGTTAAATGGGATACGAGTTCTGGATCTGACACGGATCGTAGCCGGTCCCTACTGTACAATGATCCTGGGAGATCTTGGCGCGGAGATCTTGAAGATCGAACGACCTGGCGGCGGAGACGAGGCGCGCAAGTGGGGTCCGCCATTCTTCGAAGGAACACAAGAATCGACCTACTTTATGAGCGTGAATAGAAATAAGAAAAGCGTTTGTATCGATCTGAAGAGAGGTAAAGATATTATTTACGATCTGGCGCAGACATGCGATGTCTTAGTGGAAAATTACGTACCGGGAAAGTTGAACAGTATAGGCTTAGGATACGAAGACATAGCCAAGATAGCGCCACGTCTTATATACTGTTCGTTAACTGGCTATGGATCTCAGGGACCTTACGCAAATAGGCCTGGTTACGACGTTATCGCTGCTTCCTTAGGTGGACTTTTGCACATTACCGGTCCCAAAGATGGACCACCGTGCAAGGTCGGCGTAGCAATGACAGATTTAGCAATGGGTTTATATGCTCATGGAGCGATTATGGCAGCTTTACTGCAAAGATCAAAAATCAACAAAGGCCAGTGGATACAATGTAATCTTTTGTCAACTCAAATTGCGAGCTTGATTAATATTGCTTCAAATTACTTAAATGGAGATAAAGAAGCGACAAGGTGGGGATCTGAACATGAGAGCATAGTTCCTTATGAAGCTTTCCCAACAAAAGATGGATATATGACAGTGGGAGCGGGTAGTGATTTGCAATTTCTAGAGTTAATAAAAAGATTACAACTGCCAGAACTCATTAATAATAACAAATTTAAGAATAATATTGCTAGAGTTAAGAATAGAATGGAATTGCTTCAAATTCTCAGAGATGTATTTAAAAGAAAGACAAATCAAGAATGGTCTGCAATATTTGAAGGTGCTTCATTCCCTTATGGAGCAGTAAACACTATAAAAGAGGTAAATGAATCAATATCAAATAATTTTGTAAATTTCATCTCTTTAAACTTTGCATGTAATTTTCAGGTATTTGATGATCCTCATGTAAAATATATAAAGTTGGTTCAAGAGTTAGAGCATCCAGTTACAGGCAAAGTGAAACTCGTTGGGCCACCTGTGACATATAGCTATGCTACCAACATAGTGAGATCGTCACCACCAATGTTAGGACAACATACATCAGAAGTTTTAAGAAATATATTAAAATATTCGGATGATAAAATAGAAAATTTAATAGCACAGAAAATTGTGCAATAATTAATGAACATGTTTAATTTTTTTTATGTAGTTTTACATGTGACACTCACATAACAAATTTCAATTTTATAATAATGTTTTAATTTTTATGCATCATTACATGTAGCATTTTCAGATAATACATAAATTTTAATTTTATAATAAAATATAGTTTCTAGAAAGTAGTTTCAAAGTGATAAAGATTTCCCTATAAGATGTTATTGATAATATCGTGTGTTTAATGTTACATATATTTTACATTCTATATATCTTTTTAGATTTAAAAAATATAATTTACAATAAGAATTGTATGTATATGTAAATAATACAAATAAAATTACATATTTTATAAAATATTATTTGTATGTGCCAAACTTTACATAATAAATAAAAGAAATAATAAATTTTATTTGAATATGTTCTTTTATTCATTTTCATAATAAAAATTTTTCGATTGTGCTTATTGTGACCAATGTCATTTGTAATTACTATATATACTTTAAAGTGTGATTAATTTGATTAATTTATTATATTAATATCTTCATAATTTTTTTTATAGGATGTGCCTACTGTACGATTACGTTTACGAAAACCAAAATCAAACAAAAAGGTCCAATGGACTCAAGGAACTGTTGATAATGAACATCTAAACAAGAAAAAGTCAAAATGTAAGTATTTATTATTTCTATAAGATCTAAGTTTATCCAATGAAAAAAATAAAATAAAATAAAATAATTTATTATGTAATTTTTTTTATTTACAGGTTGTTGTATTTACGAGAAACCAAAAACTTTTGGTGAAAGTAGTTCCGAAGATAGCGATGATGAATGTGAACATTGTCATGGGCATAAGGATGTTCATAAGAAAGTCATACCCAAAACTGGAAATGCTGCTCAAGATGGAATGTCTCATCCTGGTAACTTTTTAACAATAAATTCAGTAGTAGCATTAGTGCATGCTTAATTAATGTATTTTTACTTCATATTATGGTTTGTTTACAGAACCGATTGCGACAGGATCAACATAAATATTTATATATCCATTGACCATCCTGCTAAATGGAAAATAAATTCCTTTATGCTGTTTCTCAAGTCAGTATCATACAGAAGAAATGGCGGATTGTAGGTAAGTGATACACACAATAAGTAGAAAAATGAGATCAAAAAACATGATTTTTTGTCACATTACATTATCCTTTTAGGTATACAAACTTTAAATATGATTCTGCACTAATCATATAGCATTCTTATTACAATACTTTAACAATATTGCACGGAAGATTATGAAATGTTGTCCAAATTGTTAATTCTGATATAGATTGTACGTAATATGTCACTAGTAAATCAATCGAGAATAGTAAATCATTGAATGCTCTCTGAAAAATAACGATTATCATTCCTTGTATATGTTTACGTCTGAATTAATGTCACTTTTTTCATATGTACTATTTGCTATTTAATAGATATATATACTCTTTGCTAGCCAATAGCTCTAGATTTTATGCTGAGAGAAAATATATATTACTTGTTAATCTGTGACTTTTATTAACATTCCACATTTATAATAACATTGATTTACATATTTCATGATTGCTAAATCAAATTTGAAATGACTTGTTATTACACAGGGAGATTGAAAATATCCCAAAATTTACCCCATATTTGTTTTTGTGGGAGATTTATTATATTATGTTTATAATTTTACAATGTAATTGTACAACATACAAGCTCAAAAAATGACATGTTGTATGAGAAAGAACAAAACAAAATAGTGCACATTTATATCCATTCATTATTTTCTTTGTTTAGTACAGATATAAGTAGAAGTAAAATTTATAAATATTTCAAATATACAGAAAAAGAAATATAGACTAAATAAAAAAATTCAGTATTACAGGTTGTGTACATGTGTGAACAGAATAACCATATGAAAAACTTAATATTCATTGCACACTCTGCATTGAGAATTCCAATTTTATAATTTTGTCAGAAGATAAATTCTATAAGACCTAGAGTTCCACATGTAAGAGCTATATAGATAAACTTTAAGCTAACAGTTTAAAAATAGTCTGATGATAATCTTTAAATATAAATGATATAATTTTAAATTCTTTTACTAGATATTTTCTAATTTTGCATTATAACAATAGACAATATATTTCTTTGCGATATCCATTCTTTTAACAACATTTTTAGTAACTCTTTCAAGTAGTACTCATCTGGTGATATTCCAGATTGTATTACATTATAAGAAATGAAAATCTGCACATGTATTTGTGTGCATAAATCCTAGGTAATCAAAAAATAGATTAATTATTTGTGCTTTTATATGATAGTAATGTTTTGGACGATTTTGTATCAACTTAAGTGCAGAATATATCTCTAAAATTCTTGTAAAAATAAATGTTTTAAATTGGAAATTTAATAGTTTTTAGTCAGTCAATATTATTACTGCTTCTTTGAAACCTTCGTCTTTTTCGCACCTCCATTCCTCTACGATAGGTATTTTCATCTAAACCTAAAGCCTTCACCATAGCCCGACTCCGCCATATTTTAACTGTATAATCATCACTGGTTGTAACTAACATTTCAGGATCACGTGGATTAAAAGCTACGGAATTAACTACATCGGTATGAGGAAATTTTGCTAAACAAATCCCATAATGTCTATCCCACAAGTAACCATGCTTGTCTTCTGCACCACTGTAAGCAAAGATATTTAATAATAAATATCGTATACATTGTGAAAATATAAAATTTTTTTTTTAAATTAAATTAATGAATTATGTAAATGTAATCAAATTACATTACCTTGCTACATATTCATTACATACATCCAAAAATATAAAGAAACATTCGTTATTAGGCGTATATGCCTTGTGTGCTCTTAACATTGTACCAACTTGTTTTAATGTTACCAAGTCAATCACATGTATATCAATTTCTTGTGCTATTGGTGGTGGTTGTAAAGGATTAGTAATAACATAACCCTTTGGCCATGGCCTTGTATTTACATAAAGATATCTGTACAAAAATGTATACATAATCACATACCCCTCAAATATATCATCTTACATGATGATGACATTGATATAACTGACCTATGATCAGGAGAAAGTCCCATTCCAATGATGTGGCCGTGAAGATCAATCAAATGATCTATCTTATCGAACTTATCAGCTACAGATTCGTAATTTAACCAATCTTCCACCGATGGGGTATTCTGTCTCTCTCGCTCCCTTTCCCGCTGAGCTATTCTTTCGCGTAGCGACGGTCCTGGGTCTAATCTTCTTGGGAAACTGACTAATTTAATTCTCTTAAAACCAACTTTATGTGGAGTATATGTCTTCGAGCCAGTTGTAAATATAAGGAACTTCTCGGGATTATTGGCTAACTCATCAGTATCACATTCTTCGGTTATCGAAGATTCTGTAAACCCATTTTGTATCATATCCTATACAATAATTATAACGATCGATTTTCTAATACTATGCGTTATGTGCGCATAATTTTTCTACCTCCTGACTCGCTCTCCTCTTCCCACAATGGATTCTCACTTTCACTGTCACTTTCGTGCGCCTTCCTCTGCATCTCAACCTGCCTATATTCCTGATTGTACTGTATAGGACTAGCATATTCAAAACCGTCACCAAGTTTTCTCCAATTCGAAAATCCACCTTCTAATTTACTATATCTATCGTATATATATGTATATATATTACATAAATGTTAATTATTTAACAAATAGGAAAGTTATCATGTATCATAAAGAGGAAAAAATTCATACTGTAATCTTGATGATGCATGGTGTAGCACTTCTGGTTCTTCATGTTGTTGCGAGCTACCAGGTTCGTTCGAAGGTGACAACAAATCCTTGTGACTTGGCGGATTCCCTTTTTCCTCCTTTATATTTGAGGAGGACGGCTGGCTTTGTTGTTCCATAGTTTCAGCTGGTGCAGGCGCTAGACAATTTGCAACCATAATTGCTCTAATTGAAGAAGCATTTCCATTGTAAAACCTGAAAATTATTATAGATGTATGAAACAAAATTTATTTTGGGAAGACAACTGTTTATATTAACATTAATATTATAAACCCCATTAAGATTAATATTAAACTAAAGATTGAAAAGGCATATTGAATTATGACTTTACCTAAAAAGTTGTGTCATAATGGGCACATGTTCACTAGCTGATTCTTGGTTTGCCTTATTGAGCCAAACTACACTAGTACTGACCAAATGTGCCAACCAATGCAGATTTCCACTTAAAAGGTAACGTTCACTGTACCATGTACCAAATATGTCATATGGCTTATTCACTACTCTACATTGGAGGTCAAAGCCAGCTACAAATAAACACAAAGCATACATAAGCAATTATTTGATTGAGAATTGAAGACTTCTATTAAAAAGTATCTCAAAAAATAGCTTATTGTCTACCTTTTTAAGATTTATCAATTTATGTAATAATCTTCTTTAGAGTGCATTTAATTTCTTGTTTACTTACGTGCTACTTTAAACACTGCTATTTCTCCCGAAGTACTATGAGGTGTACCAAAATGTACACCAGAGACAAGAAGTAAAGTATCTGTACAATTAAATTGTGAAAATTGCGTATACTTCCAACTAAATGTTTTCATATCGTGTAAATATTTAATAGTAACAGGATATTGACTTTGCCATACCTGAAATAATAACATGTTTGTGACATTTGATAATTTATGTGAAAAAGAGAAAATATAAATATGAATGTCAGCAAAACAGCTTACAAAAATATATCCATCTTTTGAACAAGTTGCAAACATTTTGCCATTATGGGAGAAGCTCACATGTAAAACTTGATGCGAATGCTCCTTGAGAACTTCAGTTTCTATCAGTGGAGTATGATATGCCAAACGTTTGAATTCTCCCAACCAAGAAGTTTTCCCTAAAAGAAAGAAAGAGAGAATAATAATTACTAATATTTTTTTAATCAAGAGCATAAACTGTAACATATCAATATAAATCTGTGTATGTATGTGTAAATTAATCAGTGTAAAAGATTGTTCTCTCTCTCCCTCTTTTCTATGCAGTAAAATATTTTTGAAATATGCTTCAAAAGATGTACCAACATTATATATATATTATTATTATTAAGGATATCTTTTATGTAATATACAAAAATGGTCATTTTATAATAGAAAGATAGAAATCATAGAAAGATAGAAAAACAGTAATTCTCACAAATTTTAACAAGTATATATATATAATTCTTAATAAATTTATTATAAAACCTGTTCAAGTTCAATCAAAATATCTGCTATACTTCTAGATAATTATTTTATTATTATTATATCTTTTGTTCTTCGTTTCCTCGCTTCTATTATCCTTATATATGCCATAAATAGGATAATTATCTAATGTAGCTAAATCGAGATTTTTTCTTGTGATTCAAACAACTTTTTTCAAACTGAATGATACAATATGCAAGTCACACAACAGAAATTTATATTTTTTATCTATCTCATACATGTAATATGTGACAAAAGGTATATTATTTGCAATCGCATATAAAATTACGATGACGTCGAAAGTGCTGCTAATGTATGACAAGACATACCTGGCATGATGCCGACATCCGGATCTATCTTGTATGTCCGATAAAATAAATATTTCCACAGAAATTCATCATGCGACACCCTATGCCATGATCTGCATACTTCACCCGCGATCGTCAGCTCCTTCGGCGTCAGGTACTGGAAGATGCTCAAAAGAATCGAGTCTGGCATATAATACCAATTAACATCGCCCTCGCTCCGCTGTGACAAGCACTCGCTATTGTTATCCGATTCGCTGACTTCCTCGTCAGCTGTCTGACAGTCCCGCGCGATGTCCTCGACGCCGTCCATTGTCGAAATGCGGCGGTTTATTTACTGGAACAGCTGATACCTGTCAGCGACTGTGCAGTCACTATGCCGAAGATACACGAACTCGACCGAGGTTAGAATTTCATCGCGATCAAGTGCATTACATGTAGCACGTAATATCACGCATGGTATAATGTATACGTAAATATATATAGCATTCTGAAAACGCGGCACGTGTTCGTAGCGTGGATGAAAGTACAGCAGATATCATTGATGCCTCCATTTCCGATGCATTATATCTAGGTATTTGTTTATTGTAAATCGTAATTATTGAAAGACCTAAACTAAATTTTTATCGATTCAATAATAATAATAATAATCTTATTTATTTCTTAACTTTATGTATTTCTGCCGTCTGTCAAACTCTGTCAAATACAACTCATAATTCAATATGCATGTGTATCGTACGTGGATATGTGTATACATATGATGATTCTCTGCCATCTGTCACCAAAGGTAAAGGAAAGGACGAATCTAATTGGTTATGCCATATTGGTACTAGCATTCGGATTAACAACGCGATTGGTGATTCAGTAACAATATGGCTGATACATGCAGTTAATCATGGGGTCTGTTCTTTATAGCTGAACTGAACTGGCTGCACTAGTTCAGAATTTATCTTTCTTCTTCCAATCCTTTCAATATGGAGAGAAAAGGATGAACTCTGCACTAGTGTAGCCAGTTCAGTTCAGTCCAGGTATAAAGAACAGACCCAATGTTATCTTTTGGCATGGTCTTCCTAACCTAGTTTAAAATTCTTGAGGCTGATTATTATCAAGAGTTTTATTCGGCGGTTTCAAATATTACCTATCTATATTTTTCTTGTTCTTGAAGTGGATATTTATATCAATATAATCATACAGATTATAGCGTTTACAGGAAGAATTTGGTAAGAATATAGTTATAAATTTCATATATTATTATGTAAAGAAAATATATGTATGTAGAAATAAATATTTTAGTATTGTATACATTATATTTACAAATTATGTATACACATAATTCTTAAATATTGTGTAAATTTATAAGAAATTTTGAATTATCGTAACATTGAAAAATAAAGAAAGTACTTTTATTTGTAGAAAATAAGATGCTTAAGGAATATAAACATTTATCTATCTATTGAAATTTTTTGGATAAGCTTTTTGTAATAACACCGGAAGAAAATTGTTTCAAAATGTTTGGTTTGATTTTGAAGCATCCTATCATATTTAAAGTTTCATTAATTAAAGCACAATCTATTCATGGGATGATGCAAAAGTGTTTTAAATATGATAAAAATATATTTTCATCAGCATTGATTGTTAGAACATTTCTAACAAGAAACATAAGGTAAAATACAGTAAAACATTTTGATATTAAAATGTATTTCATGAGAATAATATATATTTAATAATATACTTTAGTCATTGTTCTCTTACATTGGTAAAATTAATATTCATGTAAATATATACAGGATGTTTTTGAACTATTTACTTTTTTTAATTGCTGTTGGAAAAAATTATATTACAAAAAAATGTGTTGAATATTTGACTAATACATGTACAATAATACATATGTATATATATATATATACAATATAAACTTGATTTATAACTATTTAATTTTTATAAAAATTGAAAAAAATGATTTTAGCTTTAAATTGAATTTATATAGAATGTACATATCAAATAGCAATGACTCCAGTATATCTTGTATATTTAAAATAAAATTACGAATAATTAGCAATAAATGTTACTATTTTATAAAATAATATAAAATATATAGGTTATCTGATATATTAGTGCAACCAACAAGTTTTCTTAAACTTAGCAAATCGCCACAAAACTTGTTAGTACGGCATCAACAAACGTCAAAATTTGATGTGAATACAAATGTACAGAATAATGTAATTTTATACAAAAACGAAAATAATGGATATTTTCGGAATGTTCAACTTTTTGCAATTGGGCAATTATTTGGTTGGTCCGTATTGGCTTTCTATACTTATACCCCAGCTTTCTTCGATATATTTACAACTGATATAAAATTTATGGAATTTGTAAAGGAACATGTAATTCAACTATCTCTCTTTACTTGCTCAATTTTTGTAGGTAAGATATATTTTTTACTTTTTTGTAGTAAAAATTTACTTTTATATGAATACACATAAGAGTTAAAAAGTAACATTAGAAATATTTCTTATTTTATTATGCAATATCTTTTTGTATACATTTTTATAAAAAAATTAAAGCAGCAGTTAAATTTTTACTCTGTCTTTTCTAGAGTAATATATTTGTTTTGTAGGTCCTATCATATTTGCTTTTATGTATGCTACATGTGCTCGTAACATCAAATATGTTATCTTAAATAAAGGTGGTAAAACAGTTTCACTTTTTACTTATCACATGTGGAAAAGAAAATCTCACATATTAAATTTACCAATAGGAATGGTAAGAATAAATTGTATTATCCAAAACTATAGATTGTAGATTAATTTTTGATATATTTATGATAATAATTGTAATAATAATATTATAAGGCCAACAATATATATATATAATATTTATATTTCTTTAAATATTTCTTATTTGAGATATATTTTTTTTTTTTTAAGGCAAGATGTACCTCACATAGAACAGATCATGGAGTATGTATACCACTTAAAATAGAAAACAGAGCTTTTTATTACCTGATTGATAAAAACGGCATATTTGTGAATCCGAATCTTTTTGATTATACAATGGGATAATTACTTAATCTTAGAAATTAGAATAGTATTTTAACAAATACATTTTTGTTATATTAAAATTGTTATATTAAATAGTAGTTACTGTCCTGTATTTATACATGTATATATATAAATATACTTGATGTATATAAAATACATAAACATATACTTTTAATACTATAAATAATCAATTATTTTAGAATATCATTATAGATGTAAATATATCGACATGTTAAATTGTATATTAGCATTGAGGAAGTTATCTTTTAAAAAAAAAATTTTTTTTCTTGTAGATTATTTATTAATATAAAAAAGGTAAATTTACAATTTATATTTTTTCCAGAGCAGGAAAAAATGTGTTAGTACAATATCTATATATACAAAAACATAAGTAGTATATTTTATTGCACAGAGATTAGTTTTTTATTTATCATTGGTTTCCAAAATATTTTATAGAATTAAGAGTTGTCAGAGTAATTGGTCAATTAATAGTTAACGCTATTTTTTATATTTTGATCAATATCTTTGACTTTGCCTGTCATAATACTTTCCTGAATATTTACTATATCGGTCACTATAGCCATCATCCTGATACTTGTCTTCCGCTTTATAATAAACTTCAGGTGCTGTAGAACCAACACGACCTTGCCAATAATGGGTCCAATATAAATCTTCTGGATTAATATCATGGGGGTGTTTGGCATTTCTGAACACATGTACACAATATACGAGACTTCCAATCAATGTCAAAAATCCAAACACCAGAAATACTATTCCTAAGATCCTAAAGAAAGATATTTATGTTGTTAAAAATATCTTACACACATCCACACACACACATACATATATATATATATGTGCTCTTACCAAACAACTAATGGTTGGAAGAATTGTATGACGATAACAAAGCCCAGAGTAACCAGGATCAAGCCGAGATTAAGAAGTAACATGAGGCAACAGACACCCTTAGTGTTTGGACAGAATGGATTGGGTGTTGACATAGTTTCCACAATTATACCACCTTTCCGTGACGTACGAGTTTTCACTGTCGAAGTACCCGACCTACCGGAACCATAGCTGTAGTGACTAGGCGCTCTGTGATCCAATCTGGAGCTTGGTGCTAGACTATGGCGTGATACCCGACTGCTTGTAATAAGATACATTTTACATTAATATAATTTGTATTTATTAATATTGTTT